TTATAGTCTATAAGAATCACAAAAGCCGAAACCCAATCACGTCAAAAGATTAATCCATATAAATAATTTATGAACAATAACTTTAAGTATTGTAATTGTACTAGTTTCTTATAATAAACTTTTTTTTTTTTTTTGTTATTTATTCGATAATTTATTTACAATCTATACAACAAGTACATGAAGCAAATTTGATCAATTTGAATAAAGTTTATTACATTAGATTTAATTTAAGATATATATAAAAGTGTTAGTATTTCCGGAACACTTTCAAAAGTTAAGTTGAAAATATTATTTTTTTGTGAAATAGTTGTCAAAAGTTCCTGTGGGCAGGTAAAGGGTCAGATTTATAAAAAAAAACATACAAAATGATAGGTAATTACCTCATGTATTTATAAAAGTTATGTTAGTTTTAAGTAAAATGAAATAGAAAAAATTTCGAAAATTAATGATTTTTAAATTTGTAATCTTTTTGGAGATTTCACTCTTTTACGGGAAACGACAGAAATTTTTCCAATTTTGAGGATAATGTCTTCGACTAGATACGATTTGTGATCTTTTGACGTATTGTTAAAAGAAATCGGTTCGGTGAAAGCTGAGAAAAAGTGATATACACAAACAATAAAAATATATCATAGTAAAATTAATACCTTCTCAGCTCGCATCGAAGCTAAAAAAGAATCTTACAATACAATATATGAGTATTTAAATTTTTTTTGGAATCTAACATAATTCTTTGCGGCATAGTAATGTATTTTATTTAAGAATTAAAATGTAAAATAATTTTTAGATTTGATATGATGATTTAAAAAAGTATTTCTATAATTATTTGAAATAATATTATACCAAAGTATGCAATAATTTGCATGACTCAATTGAAGCCGTGAAAAGTAATTTTAATAAGTTATTTTCAAATTCTTAATATGCACCATAAAACTAAAATATTAGAAAGATTTTCTTAATGTCTAAGAGAAAAATAATATTTTTTGGTTTATGACGAAAATAACTTTATATTTGATTATACTGTAATAAGAAGTAGAATAGTGTGGTCGAGTTGGTCATGCAACAGTGCCTGATGTGTACTGTTTCAAAAAAAAATTATGCAGTAAAACTAACTTAAAAAAAAAAAAATTTATTTTGAATATTGTTTTTTACACTCAATAAATAAAAACATGAAATGGGTCAGATTTCAGTCCTACTACATGTACGTGGTAGTTTGACTGACTAACACCGTGTGATATAAGCTGCGGTATAAAGTCTGACAAATAAGGCGCAGACGACAACGACCCGTTGCAAATGGACAAACAACTCAACACCTGTTCTGAAGACAACCAGATTTGTGTCGCTTACCGTTATTATGTTTTTGACACATCTCTACACCCTAATCACTCTTGATAAAATATAAAAAAAAAAAAGATATTTCTGAATTAGTATTATTTATCCGCATAATTGGAAAAAAAAATTATCATGCTATAGACAAAATATCGAAGTATTAGACAGAACCGGGCAGCTGACGATTGGAGAAATATAATCTTCTTGGATATAAAAGATATTATGAAAAAAATAAACCTAATAATCAACTAAAAGCATTCATAATGGGTTTTCAAGAATATTCATTTTTTTAATATTTTTACTATCTAATTTTTTTTTTTTAACTATATAATACAATAAATTTTTTACGAATTACCTACATTAAACGATAGATATGTGACAAGTTGGAACAAATATAGATGATGCCTGACAGTCATTAAAATCATTATCATAAGAAACACAATTATACGATATTTACACTATGCAATATTTTGCACGTTAATACTATTCGATTATTTGTCGGTAAATTGATATTATTTTTGTTGTCACTTAGATACTAAATATTCACAGTCTTATGTCATGTATTTTATGGCGGTTTTTATATGGTTTTATTCCTTTTGGTCACAAACACTCCCTCACCTTATCTTTTTGCTAGTTGCATGAGGCCCAGCCTCATTGGGGCAAAGCCGGTGTGAAATTTTTTATCCGCACTGGATATATGATGTGCATGGTAATACAACTAATCACCGTCCACACCATTGCGGTGTTTTTTACGGGGCGATTGTTACCAGCGTCGTTTTTACCGAAAAATGACTCGAAATTTTGAGAGGGTTATCCTCCTCCCCAGAAATTTTAATTTCCCCACCGAAGATACCGGAATTTTCGGTTATCACACTGGATTTATGGTCATTCTTCGGCCTTTTCAGGGAAAATTGTTGTTTTTCGGTAACGATTCAGTGTAATCCCTTTTCTGTCCGGCTATTTCTACTTTTTTCGGGTTTTTACCCGTAGAAATAATGTCCAGCAGCCAATCGCCGGGGGCTTTAGCTTCTCGCCCAAAGGCCCGTTCAGAGGGAGTACTCCCTGTTAGTCTGTTCCGACAATTTCTTATTGAAAAATTATAGTCGGAATACAGCTGTCCCAGTGACTATGTGGTTTGTCAACCAAAGCTGTCCGAAGACTTTTTTTCAAATCTTGGTTTCAGCGTTCTACTGGATTTGCTCTTGGATGGTAAATTGGCGTTGTCCATCCTTCTGTGCCACACTTCTCCAGTGCTTTCTCCATTGTTTTGGAGACGAACTGTGTTCCATTGTCTGAGAGAAGTTCTCTAGCATAGCCGAAACGTGAGAAGAACTCTCTTTCTAAAGTATCGGTATTCGTCTTAGCGGTGGCTTGCCCTAGGGGGTATGCTTCCACCCGTTTACTGTAGCAGTCTGTTGCTACAAGTAGGCTAGTCTTACCACTTTGATATCTTGGGTATGGCCCCATTAGATCAATACTAACAATCTCCCATGACTGACGGGGCTGTCTTGGTCGCAATGGGTCATCTTGATTCCGTTTTAGTGGTTTAACGCAAGCACAAACGTAACACCTTACGACATATTGACATACCGACTCTCTCATACTGGTCGAAAAGGAACGATTACCAATGCTCCGGTAAGTTTCTTTCCACCCTGGATGTCCTACGGAACGACGATAATCTTTCCTTACGTCCCGTTATTTACCGTGCCTTTTACCAAATACCATCTTGCAAGTATTATTCCTGGTGTAAGCGCCGGTAAATTGAATTGTCACTCCGCAGTTTCCGGACATACTGGACCAAAGTTGCATCTTCGGCTTGCCAGGTTCTAATGTCAGTAATATCTGTATTCTCCGGGTAAGTTTTTTCACTTTTACCGTTCTTGGCTGGGCTAAAAGAGTCACTATTACTTTGCAGATATGTTTTTTCTGACTTTTACTCGAGTAATTCGTCTAAGCTTGGGTCCTGGTCGGACGCTGAACGATTACCCTGTTTGTCAGTTAACAGCTTCTTCCGATAAATAAGTTTGCGGCTCGGGCCGTAGATCATAAAATGAATCTGTGTCAATTTCTTTGGGTTCCGGGTCTTCCAGAGATTTGTTCGGCAAACTGTTTTCGGACAGAGTTGCTTGTGTTCCTTGGTTAGGATGATTTGTACTACTCTTCAGTANAGTTGCTTGTGTTCCTTGGTTAGGATGATTTGTACTACTCTTCAGTATTTCCGAAATTTCTCTATCTACTGTACATTTCTTCCATGGACACTCCGTTTCTTCGGATTTGATAGCGGCGAGCTGCATATTTTTGCGCTTTTCCGGGGCCATTTTGGTTCCTGGTCGGAAACTTTGGTACCGGGCTTGCGCTCATGGTACTTCGGGCGGACTAGTTTTTCTTGTCCGGTCGGATTCACATGAACTGTCCAGAACTCTTCCCGTTTCCCGTCCTCACCATAATTCTTTCCGGGCTATTCGTCCCATTCCGATTGTAGTTTATGCAACGTGCCCTCCGGATGGGCTTTTTTCCGGTCTAATAACCTCTTTCTCCGGTGGCGGTTTCTTATTTTCCCATTTGAAGCTATTCCCTTCCGCGGAATACTTCTTTTCTTCGGGCCGCCGTTCCGGAAGAAAGTCTTCTACGTCCAAGCCGCTAGCCAGCTCTAGCAGATCTTCCATTGGCCTAATGAGCAGTCACTGCGCATGAGGTCATATGATTAGGTCGTCCAACTCGTACTCTATCAACTTGAGTTGAGACGACGGCTAGCTGGCTCTTCCACATTACAAACTCCTCTAGGGATTGTCGTTCACCTTGGTAAGCACTGTGGAGATCATTGCGTACTTTGGTAAGTATAGAAATGCTATTGAACCTCCTCAAAAATTGTTGCTGGAACACTGACCATGTGAGGTTCAAGTAGCGTATGGTAACCCACCAGTTACCTGCCTCTGCTTTTAAATGTGGGGACAGTACACGTACCCACTTCTGGTGCGGTACATTCGCTTCAATTAGAAACGATTCAGCCTCTTCAATGAAAGCGTTGGGGTCCTATTGTTTCTTTCCGGTAAACTCTGGCAGAGAATCACGTGCCAACGTTACACTATAGTGGGACAGTAACAACGTTTCGGTCGAAACTTTCCGGGACGGCCATCTGCTCACATCCTTCCGACCAGATTTCTGATGTGTCGGTTCTGTCCGCCATAACTCGCTAAGTGTGTGTAGTAGCGGTATGCTTATCCTGTTGGTACTTCCAGGGACCCCTTCCACATAATCGGTAAGTAGGTTGACTTGCGACGTCAAAGTGTCCACCTTTGTTTCCAGCAAGCCAATATGGTCGCGATGGAGTGACACCGTGTTCTCTATTTCCTCAATTTTGGTCATATACTCGTCAAGGTACAAACATAAGGTAGTGTACATGTCCTGTTAGAAATTCCACTCGTCATTATCAAGTGCATTGTCCGATCTGCCATTGTCAGCTCCACAAGTCTGACTTGTACTCCCTTTAGGAACATCCTCGCTCTGAGGGAGAGGATTCTTGGGTTGAATGGGGTAAAATTTGATACTTCCCACATTAACACCCTCCTCCAGAAGATAGTCCTCCAGCCTGATCATAAGATCGGCTTTCGATCCCCCAGTTGCGGGGACTCGCTAACTCCCCTTGTAATTCCTTAATCGATAATTTGAGTATGGTTTTACCTAACATACTGGTTGATAAAGTCACAAGTATATAAATAAATAACAAGTAGGTCAGTGGGATGATAATGCGCTGATTTTTGCCTAATATTTATTTTTAGTACAAACCACGTTAGAGAAAATTCCCGTATAATAAGCCTATGACTATTGCTTATATATACCTTAACCCTAAAAATTAATAATCTTATAATTATTTAAGTCATAAAAATTTCTTATTCTAGAACTTACTACACTTTTAGTCATTTAAAGCTTTAGGTTCTCTATTTTGCAAGCATATCACTAAGGGTACTAAAAATAATAATTGCTGTAATTATTTAGCACTTAGCTTAATTACTTCTTAGTCTGAAAAAAATTCCTTATTCGAATGCACCAATAATGTAATCAAGGTTTATTTGTGACAAAATAAATAGTAAAAAAGTGTTTAAATATTAATCTCAATATATTTTAAACCAATACACGTAAGGAAGCACATAAAAAGTGTCACGATAGATTTCCGTGAAGTAGTTGAAAAAGTAATATGTATATATTTTTGGTGCAATGCCAGACCGGTTCGCGTCACCTACGGTCACTCATCGTCGCGTGACCTATTGGACGAGGAAAGGCAGCTGTGTCTCAGTCGCCATCCAGCGATAAGTCTAAAGTGAACTACGACTACTTCAGAGTACTTTTTGGTTTCTAAATACAAAAGTGCTTCAATTATATTTTACTATTCAAAATATATATATAATTTTTTAGATAGCAATATATTCATTTATTATAACTACAACTAGTCGAGTAATAGAGACTTGACTAAACCTAATGCCTTAAGCTTTATGTAAAGTCACAATTTTTCGATGCCCTTAAAAATAAAAATTGTATTTGTATGTCTCTTTCTTAATTAGATATTAAATTTTATTACAGCAAAACTTAATTAATATTTTTCTCATTTAGCAATTCAATATGATAATTCAAATGACGAACAAAAATGGCAATTAAAAGAAGACACGACAAGAATAACTGCAGAAAACGGAAATTTGGAATTGTTAAAATATGCATTTCAAAAAAGATGTAAATGGGATGAAAAAACAACAGAAGCTGCTGCAAATAATGGTCATTTAGAATGTTTAAAATATGCTTATGAAAATGGTTATAAATTGAATCAATTCAAAATTGCGAAAAGTGCGATTAGAAATGGTAATCTAAAAATATTAAAATATATTCACAAAAATGGATATGATTTCAATCAATTCATAACTAACGTTGCTGCTGCTGGTAATCTAGAAATTTTAAAATATGTCCTTAAACATGGTTGTCCTTGCAATAAAGTTACAACTTATACAGCTGTTTTTAATAGAAATCTGGAAAATTTTAAATATTTACACGAATAAGCCCACATAGTAATGAAATATTTCTAGAATATTCCTAGAATATTTATTTTTGATATTAAAATATTTCTAGAATATAACCAGAATATATTGAAATATTCTCACAATGTTCTCAGAATATACTTTGGCAGCGAATATTACATTCTCACAATATTTTAAAGGTATATTTCTAAAATGTTATAAAAAATATATTGTGACAATATTTTTAAAATGTTTTATAAATATATTAAAAAAATGCAAAAAATAGATCGCTACGCGGGATTTGAACCCTGTACTTCTAGCGCTTTGGACTCGTACGTGACCCATTGACCCACAGGTTGCTTCGAAAGAAATAGGATAAAAAAGACTATTTAAGGTAGTTCAAATGGTTATTTGTCTGTTAAGTAATTTTTCTTGTTTAAAAAAATTCAAAGTAAATACAATTTTATATTCAATTTAGATTAGATTCATATAATTTTTTTGAAAATCGGCGATCCCATCACCATGATTTCTCCTTGTAAGTTAGAAACTGACTATTATTGTTGATAATATAGAAATATATTCTAACTATAATAAAAAAACTTTTTAGGATTTTTAGTTTCACAGGACAATAATAAGATATAATTGCGTTGATAAAACTAAAAAAATTTTAACTCGATAGGCCTGCAAATAATAGCAACAAGGGTTTTTTACTGTCCCTAACTTACTTAGCTTAATTGAATTAAGTTAATTAAAATTGATACTAATTAGAGAAAATGGCTGTTTACTTATTAAAGATTTAGGAATATGTATATATAATACATAAGTATTATATAACAAGATACCAATATCATCCAAAGATGTAACTAAAGGGAGAAAAGAGGATGGCTTGTGTCTCTTAAGTTACCTCAGTTGGCCAACAAGATATATATTTATAATATTTAAAAAATTATATTGATAATATATTCAACAAATATTTCAAGTTAAATATTCTATATTTATTTTAATTAATATATTTTCATAATATTTATAAGCAAATATTTAAAAAGATATTTTTTAAGCACATTGTAGAAATATTTTCGGTGTAATATACTGTATTTATTCTCTTTAATATATTATCAAAATATACATAAACAAATATTTAAAAAATTATATTTTGAGCATATTATGAAAATATTTCAATAGAATATATTTTTTATTATGTTTATGAGATATTGTCACAATATTTTATTCAAAATATTTTAAAAAGTATTTTGTAAGAATATTTTGACAATATTAATATATTGAAATTGCTATGTGGGAGGATGCCCATGGGATGATAGAATTACTTATGAGGCCGCCATTCAGGGTAATTTAAATATTTTAAAATATGCAAATGAAAATGGTTGTAAATGCCATGAACATACAACTACAGAGGCAGCCAAAAGAGGTGATTTAAAAATATTAAAATATGCACATGAAAATCAATGTCCGTGGGATGAAAGCACAACAGAAGCAGCTGCTTTTAGCGGTAATTTAGATTGTCTTATATATACCCGTGAACATGGATGTAATTGGGTTGAAGGTACAATGAGAGGATCTGCAGCAAATGGACATTTAAACTGCTTAAAATATGCTCGTGAAAATGGGTGTTTGTGGGACGAAGGTAAAACAAGACTTGCTGATGCAAATGGTTAATTTAGTTGCTTAAAATATGCTTAAGAAAATAATTGTTCATGAAGTAGCAGTACCATTTCTGAGGCTACTCGAAAGGGATATACTGATATAATTAACTATTCTACTGAAAATGGCTGTCCTAATTAATGTTCTGTTGAAATATCCTAATTTTTATTACATTTATTTATGGCAAATTATTTTTGAAAATAGTAATAGGAATTAATTTATTGAATAAGTATATTAAATCTAAAAGTAACTATAAAAAAAAACTAATAAAAAATTCACAATATTTTTAGTTTTTGATTAATTTAATAACAAAAGTGTTATATAAATTTTTTGTTCTGATAATAATGTTTAGTAAAATCTCGAAAAGAGACAGCTAAGAGTAACATATATCAGTTTCAATATAGAATGTTTAATAAAAATAATTAATTATTTTAATTTAACAATATGCTTTTTATTTTTCTTAATCATCATGTATAGCCAATCCATATCAAAGCATCCAAACTAGTCGCGCGACCATTTAAAACTTGACACAGCATCGCGTTCTGCTCTAGGGTGGCATTCACTAGTATCTCTTTCAATATCAGCCGTTCACCTATCAATATCACAATCAATGGTCATAGTTCATCTCTCCACCCTTGTCACTGTTAACAGGTCTCTGCCGACTGTGTATAGCTGATTATGCGTCTTTTATTTTTTGTTTATCGCAAGTAGATTTATCAAATTTGAAAGACTTAAATTTACAATTGACTAAATTAACGANAAGACTTATATTTACAATTGACTAGAGTAACGAGGATTTTATATTATTATCTTTAATATGAAAGAATGAATGTACGGTTGAATAATGAGCTAATGTGCTAATTTTCCTAGCCCTTTTATTTTAAACTTGTGGGTAAAGAAAAACTATTTTTCATTAAAATAATTTAATGACATTACTAGTAGTTGTATATTATATAACCTGGATATCCCCCCTAACCCGTACGATGTGTGTTAACCTATCTAATGTAGGCGGGAGGTGTAAAAGGCTGATGGGATATGGTGAAAGGCATATTCCCCCCCACCCACATGATGTGGTTTTACCGTGTCATAGGTAGACGGGAGTGGTGTGTCCAGTGATGGCATGCTGAACATCGATCCCTGAGTGATGAGTAGGCCGATCTGCTCATGCGTGTTGTCACATGTTCCGGTGTCGCGGTGGAGGACTTTCCCGAAGCCCAGGCTAGATCGCCCGGTTGCAGTGTCTCGACTTTTCCGTCAATCCTTCGACGCGCAAAGGGGTTCCGCATTTGAGAGGTTCCCACACCGACNATTCGTAAAGCAGCCGCGCCGACGTGCGACCACTGTTCGGATCGCCCGGGAGAGGCTGATAGCGCTTTGCACACCCTCTTCCGGTGCGAGGCGTGGGCCCAGGAACGGGACTCTTTGGAGTCTCAACTAGGGTCCACGTTCCGAGTCGGGTCCATGGTGGACCTGATGTTGAGGAGCCGGGAGGCGTGGAGGCTCGTCCAGGTGTTCGCCGAATCCATCTTGAAAAAGAAGGAGGAAGCTGAACGCCTGAGACAGAGGCAGCCGCGCCGCCCGGTACAGGAGGACCTAAGGCGCTGGTTTAGGCCGGCGCCATAGGTCCTAGTGTTTATATGTTTTATGTTTATGTGAGTTATTTTTGCCCCTTCGCTTTTAACGGAGGAGGCCACACCACGTTGTGAATCAGCTCTTGATTAATTTCGGGCTGATTCACAACGTGGTGGTGTGAGTTTTAGAGACGGCGTGGGCCGCCCTGAAGTAATACCTCACGGTAGTTCCAGGGCGGTCCACAGTTGCGCCGGTCGGAGTAAAAAAAAA